CAGCATCAATTTAGGATCCATCCTTTCATCAGTCGTCAGCTAATTGTAGCTCGGTATTTTCAACTTGAAAATAATCGGCATTACATTCTCGAATTCCGGTGTCTTAGACATTTCTTGAATATAATGAAGTCGTTCCACTTCCATTTGTGGAAATTGACAGCTTGATTTTAATTCTTCATCCATCCATGGTGAATACGGCAAACTATCAAAAATCAAATTAGCAACGGTCTCTCTGATTGTATTAACAGAGGGAATTTCAGGCACATTTAACAATCCCCAGGATTCTTCAGCTGTGCAGAATCGGAAAGCAATCTCAGGGCTTAGCCATTCGCTTTCAACACTTTCTCGTAAATTCACTTGGTATCTACCTCCATGATTTACCATTCCAACAAAATATACGTCGGCGAATCGATTACCTAAGACCATAACTGGTTCCAAATCTTTCATTACCTGGAACTTGATTATCCTTGTCTTAGACATTTTCGGATGCTTCATAATAGCATAAGCGGCTCCTTCAACAATTTGGCAGGCATCGGCAATTATACCTCGAACTGAAACATTCGACTTCATAATGAAGGCTTTCAATTTCTGGGCAAATTGATAATCAATACAACTTGTGCAAGCGCCAGTGTCTAGCAATACATCACCTACTTTAAATATTTCCCTCGTTGGGTAACATAAAGTCATTCTGACTGTCGGAAAGTTTCTTGGTGATGGATCAATTTTGGTGATCAATTCAACTTCTTGATTACCATCTTCATTCATCATAAATGAATATTCTTTAGCTGGTGCTCTCGCCATATAAGCATTAACAGTATTGATTTCTTGTACCAAATTAGCTGATTCTTTAGCCTGTGGCTGATTCGAATTTTGTTGATTCTGGCTTTGACCAAACGTTGGTGCATTAGCCATCCTTAACTGAGCGGGTTGAAATCGTTCAGTTCGACCATCTTGCTTGTTAGCATTAGGATTTTCGCTGGTCTTAGACCTTCTGGGTTGACGGCATTCTCTCGATGAATGACCCAAATTGTTGCAATTATAGCACCTGAAAGGTGGTTTCACTGCACGATTAGATGATGAGGATGCTGATGCTCCACTAGTACCACTTCCACTAGCTCCAACATTAACGGCAGCATGCTTTTTCTCATCTCCTCTCTTATCCTTGTAGGATTCCTTACGCTCAGAGCGTTTTCGTAACTCAATGTTATACTCGTTGACCAATGCGGCAGTTAGATCTTGTATATCATGAACTGATTTTGATCGAAACAATGAGTCTTTGACTTCTGCTGGTAACCTTATCAAAACATCTTGTATGAATTCTTGAGGTGAAGGTTCACCTTTAACCTTGATTACCATCGTTTCCAACTTTCTAATAAATTCAGCAGGATGAGAGTCAAAATTCCATTTACACTGGTGCAATCTGAAGTCGCCTGTGAAATAACTGCTGGATTTCTGAGTTTGTCTTCTAATGCAGAAATATAAGTTTCACTTGTGTGCTTTTCCTTATCTAAGATTTTAGCGTAGGGCAGAAAATCATAAGCCATCGATTTTTGCAAAACGTACAGCTTATCGTCATCATGACAGCGTTCCAAAGATAATATTCTTTTGACGGTTTGTAACCATTGCCAAGGATCCATTGCATCTTGCGTATAAACAGGAAGTTTAGGCAATTTTGGCTTACAGCGTACATAAGGTTTAGAGTCGACCTTAGCTTTCTCATCAACTTTAGGAACTGTAATCGGTTGTTGTTTCGGAACTGTCGGTTGAACTGGAGGTTCATCAAACACACGAGGTTCATCTTCATCTGTATCAGGATGTTCATTTTCATCTTCATCTTCAATCTGTTGTCTAGTTACAGTTGCGTTATTGCCTAAGCAGGCTGTGTAAACTATCTGGCAAAGTTCTATCTAATATCTCGTCA